AGTTGGCATCCTGGTAGATAGGATGGCTATATGATGGTATGCTCTGTTAGATCGGTATTCTGGTAGATTGGATGTGGCTATGCTTAGTGACCTGTAGTTGGTCTGACTGTCTGTATGCTGGTAGGAGATTACCTGTTATATGTGCACGTGTTGAGCAGTAGTAGAGGGTATTCCATCCCGGTAGGATGATAGGGCCCTAGTATGTTGTCTTGTTGACTGTTATATGATTATTTAATAGGTGTACATGTTTGCTAGTATGTGGGCATTCCAACCCGATGGTTGAGGGCCAGGAGTATTCCATCCTGGTAGGATGATTGGACTCATAGTAGGTGGACATTCCAACCTGATGGTTGAGGGCCTGGGGTATTCCATCCCGAGGGATGATAGGACCCATAGTAGCTATTGTATGTATAGTAGGTGGACATTCCAACCCGATGGTTGAGGGCCAGGATTATTCCATCCCGGTAGGATGATTGGGCTCATAATAGGTGGGCATTCCAACCTGATGGTTGAGGGCCTGGGGTATTCCATCCCGAGGGATGATTGGACCCGTAGTAGTTATTGTATGTATAGGTGTGTGGGCATTCCAACCCGATGGTTGTGGGCCGATAGTATTCCATCCCGAGGATGATTGGACTCGTAGTATGTTGGCATTCCAACCCGACGGTTGAGGGCCTGGGGTATTCCAACCTGACGGTTGATTGGACCCATAGTATGATGTTCATTTCTGTATGTGTATGGTTATGTGTGTACAGTTATTTTGGGGGAACTCACTAAGCTTTCGAGCTTACGCTTTTCATTTTATTGTTTCAGGTACATCAGGTGATCGTGGCAAGGGAAAGGCGTGATCGTACCGCTCCTCATATTTCATGATTTTGTGATTTGGTTCTGGGGATACTCTGATGTTTAAACTATTTTGAAAACAAGTTGTAATAACTTAATGGTTTTTGAATGGGTTAAAATGTTTTAAATTGGCTTGAATTTTATGGGTGTTACAATTGATTTTGTAACTCGAAGGTTACGATTGAAAGTCCAACGCGAGATAGAGAACGGGTGCAAGATCGAGCACCGCCTGCAGTCAAGATGTCCAAGAGTTAGAAACTTATTAGAAAAGACATAAGAGTTACGGTTACCTAGGACGAAAATATAACGTATGGAGTCATTATACAAGCCCTATTTCGTTGATGATTCCGGAACGTAATCATCCTAAGGGGGAGATAACTGTAACGCCCGCATATTCGGGCTAGTCAATTTAGAGACAATAAGCGTCAAAAAATGAATTTTTGATAGAAGATTATTTAGAATAAATAATCTTAATCAAGTTATAGTATATGTGACAAAGGTTCGGTACATATAAAGAACGCCGAAATCCAAGTTATAACGAAGAAGTTATGACATGTCGAAGTTTCGCGACAAAACCGACACAACACTAGGAATCGTAAAAAGTGAGTTTATGATAAAGTATTTTTTAGCCTTAGTGATCTAAATGAAAGTTTTAGAGTACGTCTCCACCTAAGTGTGGATATAAAGAACGTCAAAAATGGAGCTCATATGCAAGAAGTTATGATCTTCCGAAGATGTAGCTATCTGAGGGCACGACACGTGGCAGAAACCCTAGCTGCCTTAAGTCCACGACGTGAATTAGTCAAGGACACTAATCGAGGCTAGAAAACACGTGGTAAGGCTACGGGCTGACTCATGTAAGTTCACAACGTGAACTTAGGTATTTCACGACGTGGAAATGTCATCCAGACACCTTTCGAAGCTAGAACGCAGATGGCAAGCCTACGAAGTGATTCAGCCATGTGCCACGACATGAACATGTCATGTCCACGACGTGAACTTGCCCAGAACAACCTATAAATAGCAATCGAGACCCATTCTTTCATTACACCTTCTCTTTTCGTTCTCTCTGGTTTTCCGAAGGCCGATTCCCTTCCTGAGCCCAACGATCACAAACCGCTGACCGTTTCTAGTTAGATTCTATCAAATCACGCTACTAATGTGAGTGCATAGTTACTTTCATCTTACACATATATATGAAGTATTCAATATAAATTACGTGTTATGTGTGCATATTATATGTGTTTCTGATATCTATGCTAGATGAACGATTTATACATGTTTACGTGATTTAAATTGTATATGTATTTTTATACTTATAAAATATATATTGGGTAGCAACGGGTGATGATAGATAGGTGATGATAGAAAGGTGATGATAATTAGGTGATAATAGATTGGTGATGATAGAAAGGTGATGATAATTAGTTGATGATAAAAAGGTGATGATAGAAAGGTGATGATAATTTAGGTGATGATAGATAGGTGATGATAAATAGGTGATGTGAGATGAGAGGAGATACCATAACCTTGACCGGAGATGTGGCAATGTAGTCATCTACCAGAGTATAGATGGAGACCACAGACTATTCTAGACATTCATGTGGAAACACTGGTAGGCTCATAACCTGTAGGTGATGAATTACGAGTTCAGGTGATGTTGTAACTATGTATTCATGCGATGATACTCTAACCCCTACTATGAATTACGAGTTCAGGCGATGTTGTAACTACGTATTCATGCGATGATACCCTAACCCTTACTGGACACGTATTGGGGGAGTAATCCCCGAATCAGTACTGTCTATGCGATGTAGGCGATGATCCTTAGGAAAAGTCCTTAGGAACAAACATATAAGGAAATGTGATGTAAAGAGATGAGAGGTAAATACGATATAGCAGATGACCCTTAGGATAAATCTTTAGAGAAGATTAAATGAAGATAATGGGGATGGATAATTGGGTTAATTGTTTGATGATTAAACATAATAATTATATTATTGTGGTTTAAAAACCCTATGTACTCACCAGGTTTCCCAACCTAACCCACTTAGCTTATTTGTATCACAGGTGTCGATACGAAGCTACATTACACTGAGAGATTAAGAGAGATGTAGATCACTAGTGTAAATGAATGTAAGGTCTGTTTATGCTTATGTTTCTGCATTGACAATGATATCCCAAAGTTTTAATATAAACAAAATACATTTCTTCGGAAATGCTTTGATAATGTGTTTATCATGTTTTTCTGGGAACAAATTCTGCAACACTTTTATTTAAAAGGATACTTTGATTTTTAAAATAAAGCATAAACAAATCGGTCTTTTCTGGCCGTAAAAATGGGGATGTCACATCATAAGTCTTTCACACATTTTCTGTTTTAGGCGTTCTTTGTCTCTTAAATCCTACTTTGAGTAGTACTACGTTTTGTCTTTTGGTGACTTTTGAAAAAGATCAACCGTTCCCTCGTAGTTTTTTTGAGGTTGTAATATCTTATGCATGGTAGACTTTCATTTACAAATAAAGTCATATCCCTTTCATACTGAGTCAGATTTTTACGAAGCTTATATCTTTGGGATCGCGGTAACAATTATATTCTAAAAATGTAAACCGGCTTTCAAGTGGACATACTTTTTTGTGCACAATTTTTGAGTCTTAAATGTTGACGAGATTTAGATTTTGAGTATAGTGGGGGGGGGTATAGGACCGCCCTTTATATGTTTCCGTGTTTTATTGTCAAGTACTAACGACGGTTATGGACGTATTTTCTAGGTTGTCACAACGGTTCACGAACAGTTCGTTGAATGTTCAATTCGTTTACAACCGTACTTGAAGGTGGGATGTTTTAACAATGACTTTTAACAATTGTAAAAAGGAGGGACTAGGCTTGCAAAAAGTGTACAAATGGAGGAGGTTCCAAGCGTACAAATATAGTTAAGGACTAGGCACACAAGTTATCCCAAACAGGGAGCATTCGTGCAAATTTCTCTCATACAAACGTTCAGTTTCTAATTTTTTTATAAAGTCAATCAACAAGAGAGTAGGGCATTACCTGGTTTCATTGTCTTGTCATGTCTAGAAACTTCTTTCCTTTTCTACTATATTTCCTTGGTTTTGTTTTATCCTTTCTCACATTTTTGCAAGATAACTTCTTATGCCAAATTTACTAACAAATACCATATTTCACCTTCTTTTCAACCTTATTAGGTTTGTGTTTCCCTTCATCCTTAGTAGTATCTTTTTCCTCTTGGTTGAAGGCATACCTGTCATCCTCGTATTGTTAGGGATAAAGGAGTGAGGTAATTTTGTAGTAGGCCACATGCCACTACCATTTATTGGTATGATGTTTACTTCATATCACCTTAGATACATTTCCTTACTGAACCAAGGGCTAATATATGGTAAAGATTCCTTATATAGAAAAATGTAAAGCAACCACATAATAAGGACATCCAATGCCACTCAACTCCCACATTTTGCAGGCATAAATCATTTGTATCAAGTTTACATAATAACCCATAAGCACATTCCTAACCTTAAATAGATTATATCCATTGGGCACCACATCAAATGCTTGTTTATAGTGATAATGAAAAGTATAAACTTATGAATTTAGGTAGTTAAATAGAATGTTAAAATATATACCTTTGGTGGAACTTTCGTTTCATCAATCCTCTCTAATGTTTTTGGGTGGTAATTTCCCTTGAAATTTTGTTATGTAAATCCTTTCCATGACACAAATTATAATCTCTTCAAGCATGGTAATGATGGATTTTCCTTGTATCAGCAAGGGACCACCAATTTGATAACCATAGTCCAGGAATATGATGCACTCCACTTTATCTTGAAGCTTTTTTTAAGCCCTATGATAATGATTTACAAGGAAGAAAATAGTAGACAAAATCATATCGATCCTTAATCACATATCTGAGTCCATCCTTGAATGACTCAAGGTTAGTGACTTGTAGTCGAATTTTAGGACTCTTTGACTCATTACATATTCTTACTCCAGAGGATTCGATAAAAACACACCATGGTAGAATATCTTAACGGTAAACTCAAGATTCCCTCTTCTTTAGTCTTCATTACTCACAAACAACTTGATTTCTAGGGTTTCTTAGTTTTGAATGTCTTCAAAAAGAGGGAACGTTTGAAAAATGGTGGATGTATCGTCGATAATGATGGTAAACTTGATTAGACGTGCGTCACTAGTTTTTAATGTTCAAAACGACGACCTTAACCCTTCGTCATTTAGCATTATCATTCACATTTCATGTTGGTGATTTTATATCACTAATATTATTTAAATGTAATGAAATTAATTTGTTGATCAATATCACTTTGATAATTATTGAACAAATTAGGATGGTGCGGAGTGCATATTTGTTTAATTTTGTATTTGTTGAAAGTATACTGCTATTTATGGGCGAAGCCCCTGAACTAACGGGGTCCGGGGGCAGCGCCCCTGGGAGCGGGGTCAAAGGGACAGAGCCCCTGGTTGGGGTCGAGCTACCAGGTCAGCACATAAATTTTTTATATGTGTTGTGTTGCTATATAAAAAATGCCTCAGAAATCCGGTTTTTTGGACTAAACTCAGTTTTGTGATCCTGGTTCTAGACTCGTTTTTAAGTTGGTTTATGACAGATTATGTGACAGTTTTTGGACAGGAAGTTGCATTATCTATAACTACCATATGACAGTTTTAAGACAGGAAGTTGGTTTTTCCTGTTATATGATCAATTTCGAAATCATTTGGGCATAAATTTTCATAACATCTTCTACATTCTCTCTTCTTGCAAACAATGAGTTTTATCCGATTAGAGGTTTTCGAGTGTACCCTTGAAATGCTTTAATATGAAAGTGTTTCACAACTCTCATTGATCAAAGCAATTCTATATCCCAATTTTCTAACATTTCATTTTGTAAGACACCTCTAAAGTCACCTAGGCTCGAGAGCAACATAAAAATAGCTAGTCGGGAGTTGTTAAGTTATAAGTTGTAAAAGGAAAAAAAAAAAAAATCATGATTTAGGGCGTGTTCGACACGTAGCGTTTGAGAGCTTCTAGCTTCTAGCATTTGACAAAACGCTCCATTTTGAACAGAAAGCATCGTTCGACACTACAAACTTCTAGCGTTTAGTTTAAACAAAACGCTCCAAATACAAATACTACTTCATGTAGCGTTTAACAAAACGCTACAAGCTACAAGCCACCCGCTACCCCCTACAAGTTACCCACTACCAGCTAGTTTTGCCGAACACACACTTAAGCGACTTATTTAACATAACTAAAACTTTGGTGTTTAACCGAGATATTTATGAGATTTTAATGGTAGATTAAATTAAAACTTCTTTGTAAAACCCAAAATTTGGATAATATTTTCCTTATAATATTATTTGAAAGTTATACAAATTTAAAAAGAATTCTACGAAGGTTCAAATAAAATCATCCAACTTTGAAATATCCTATTGGAAACGGAAAAACATAGGTGGGTGGTTAACTCGTAGAATTCTGAACAGAAAATGTACGGATTGGATTTCGTGCCCTAACTTCTAAATTGGGGGTTTCTTCCTCGCTGTTCAGAATTTCAATACAAGAAACTGAAAACAAATTTGAAAGTGATGGATTGGTTGGTTTCTATGCCAAAGGTGGAATTACATGCTCACCTTAATGGCTCCATTAGAAATTCAACTCTACTGTATACTCTCTCTCTCTCTCTCTCTCTCTCTCTCTCTCTCGTTTTCCATAGCTGAAGAAGTGAGATTTACTTGATGGAATCCAGATGATGAATTGTTCTAGAAAGAATTTATTGCACCCACACACACACAAACGCTAAAAGGGTTTAATTGCCTCAGAAAATAGGAAAAGAGTTATATTACATCTCTGGTATGTGGTTTTAAGCTCGAAAATGTGAACCTTTTAAATTAGTTTCGATGCAGTACAGGGTTAATTTTGTAGTACGTTTCTTTCTTTAAATTCGTTTGTTGATTATGAGTGCTGAGTTTTGATAAGGAGTTCATATTTTTTCAGCAAGAAAGTGTTCAGTTAATATTTACAAATCTATTCATCACTACAATTACAATCTCGTGGATGACGATTCTGGTTTACAGATTTTGTGTAATTGAATTCTAGTCTGTACATTTGATCATTTGTGTTCTGAATCTTCTGAGGAATATAACTTTGCTTCATGTAATTATCGGAGGATTTGATGCTTAATTTCCAAATTGTAAACAGAGAACTTGCAAGAGAATTGGGCGAGAAGGGTACCATTGTCTTTTCTGATTTCGAGCATGTTATCAAGAAAAGTAAGGCTTCTTTTGCATAATTCACATTTTTCAATATCTTCTATTTGATATCATCAATCTCATTATCTTTCTTGCAACACAAAAATGGATCCATTTCCCAAATTTAGATGATCGATCACTACGTGAAGTGTTCAAGTTATTTGATCTGATCCATATTGTTACCACTGACCACAAAACAATTACAAGAATTACTAAAGAAGTATGGTGATTTCTCATTTCTGACTTGATATATTTTCATCTTTTGATCATGCACAATGGTTTTATCTCTTTTTTTTTTGTTTTGTTCTATAGGTAGTTGAAGATTTTGCAGCCGAAAATGTGGTTTATTTGGAGTTAAGAACAACTCCAAAGGTGCTTAAATGTTATAATTTTTATAGCATCTTTATTTCCATTTCTTTCTCTTACAGCATTTTACTTTGAAAAATCTACCTTGCATCCAAAATACAGAACAACTTTCACACTATTATAACTTGGTAGATTATAATTTGAATCAAGGGGCCTTGTTTATTTGGAAATAAGGCTAAAAGTTTTGATCTTGATCTAATTAAAGTATACAGAAGAATGATTCGATAGGTATGAGCAAAAGGTCATACATGGAAGCTGTTGTGGAAGGTTTAAGATCCATAAGGAATCTTGATATTAATTTTTCTTCTGATGATTTTGATAAATATTCATCTACAAATGAAAAGAAGATATTTGTTAGACTCCTTCTTAGCATTGATCGACGTGAATCTACTGAATCTGCAATGGAAACGGTAAGTTTTAAAGTATTCATTTTATTCAAATGCAAGAAAAAGCAACATACTTTCATGGATTTTGTATAATGCCTTTATTAAGAAAAGAAAGTGAAAGTACAAGGTTGTAATAGGAAAAAATGAAAGTTGGAGGGTTTAATACACAAATAAATGAAAGTATGTTGCTATTTCTTGGTTTTGAAACTGTAGTTTTTTTTTTTTTCTAGGTTAATCTTGCTTTGGAAATGAGAGACGTTGGTGTTGTTGGCATCGATCTTTCTGGCAATCCAACCGTTGGTGAATGGTACAAACTCAAACTTCTACACGAACTGCTATTTTCGATAATAAAGATGAGAAGGGCAATTTCGTCTTTTGCCAACACAAGAAATAAAAAACAAGTCTTTTTCGGTTTGTCCCACCTTTTTGGTAATTTTTGTCCTATTGACTTCAGTCTCTGTCTCAGTCAAACATAGTACAACCTGTACTGTTTTGTTCTGTCCTGCATAACAAATGGAGGTATAAAATTATTTATATCTTTTAAAATAATTTTTAAAATTTTCAGGGCGACGTTTTTTCCGGCTTTGAAATTTGCTAGAGAACAAGGTCTTTCGGTTACTCTTCATTGTGGCGAGGTCCTCTTTTTCTCAAATTTCTATTTCATCTTTATAAAATAAATTAGCAACATACTTTCATTTATTTATTCATTTATTAAAATTATAGCATCTTACTTCCCGTTCTATTTTAGGGTTAATCTCATAAAAGACCTTATATTTTGTGTTTTTTCCAGATTGAACATCACCTTTATTTCTTTTCATGAAAAAGACCTTATATTTTTTCATTTTTTTCGACAAAACCCTCAACTTTGTCTTTTTTTTTTCCTCTCAACCTTCTAAATGTTTCCAAATAAATACTCAACGTTTTTAGTTTTTCCTAAAAAAACACAAAATATAAGGTCTTTTATAAGATTAACCCTTCTTTCTATAACAAACTTCTACTTTCAATTTCTTTCTTATCAACACATATATTACTTTTAAAAAAATCTTTCCAAATCCAATTATCTCATTATACTTTCAATTTTTTTTCCTTATTAGAATGTTGCAATAAGAAGAAATAAAAGTAGAATGCTATAATAATTAATAAACAAACAAATAAAAGTATATTGCTATTTCTAGCACTTAACTCTTATAATTATAAATTTATTTCATGGAATAGTGGTTTTAGGTACCTAATTCGGTTGAAATTCAATCAATGCTTGACTTTCTTCCTGGTAGAATCGGACATGCATGTTGCTTTCAAGATCAAGAATGGAGGAAACTAAAATCATCTAAAATCCCTGTAATTTTATATTCTTATTATATTAGAAATACGTTTGTTTGACATTTTAGTAACAAAAAAATATATATTTTGTTTTATGTTTAAATAGGTTGAAATATGTTTGACATCAAATATCCGAACAGAGACAATTTCTTCCATTGATGTTCATCATTTTGGTTCGTTCTTTCTTTCTCATGCATTAATTTAAGAAAGAGTAAAATACACGAATGGTCCCTATGGTTTGGAGTAATTTACACGTTTGGTCCCTAACTTATTTTTTTTACTCGGAAAGTCCCTACAGTTTGTTTTTGTTGCACGTATGGCCCGTGTGTTACCTAAAAATATTATTTTTCCCTTGATTTTTTAATTTATTTAAATAAGGTGGAGTAGGTAAGGTAAGGTAAGGTGAGGTGGAAGTGGGGTTGGGGGTGTGTTTACTTAAATAAATTAAAAAATCAAGGGCAAAATAGTCTTTTTAGGTAACACAGGGACCAAGCGCGTAACAAAAACAAACTGTAGGGACCTTCCGAGTTAAAAAAATAAGTTAGGGACCAAACGTGTAAATTACCCCAAACCATAGAACCATTCGTGTAATTTACTCTTTAAGAAAATCTAATAAGAGGTGGAATTTGGAAATAAGGACTACATCTTTTTAGCCACTAAATTATTATTTTTAAACATATAAAAAAGTTCATTACGTAAATCTATAAAATGACGAAAGTAAAAGTTAAAAGTCCTTTTTGTATTATCTTATTTTGTTCAACCATAAATTGCAATTTATCATCGCCATTTAACATTTCCATTTTGGGAAGTCTCATTTATATCTGATAGCAGAAAGTGGGCCACACAAAAAGATGGGACCCACTAAATGAAAAATAAACTGTGCATCACATGACATGTGTGGGTCGTGTTTTCGAGTGTTTATTTAACTATTAATAATAAATTAATGATTTAGTGTTTGTGTTATATTTTTTGCTCAATAAAATAGAGTTTGTATTTGTAATTATAATTAATTACTATTACTATGCATATATAAATATATATACTTCTTCTTTTTACTAGTTACTTTTGCCCCCACCGAAAAAACAAAAAATTCCGGATCTACCCTTGTCCCTAACATTATGAATGCTTGTTTATAGCGGAGCTTTACAAGGCCAATCATCCCATAGTCCTTTGCACGGACGACTCAGGGGTATTTTCGACAAATCTTTCTACCGAATACGCCCTTGTGTCTTCTACTTTCGGTTAGTATTATGTTATTGTAATACAAATATTTCTAAGGGTAATTATGTCTTTTTCCGTAGACTAAAGGTCAAGACTCTTGTTCCAAGAAGGGCAATTATGTCTTGACCCACTTTTTGGGTAGGACCATAGGACATATTGACATAACTGTGAGTCCAAACATAATACAATCTGTCATGTCCTGTTTACAAAAGACGTAAATGCCCTTCTGAGCGATGTGTGTTTTTTTATCATTATTTTTGCCAATTGAAGGTCTTGGAAGGATGGAATTGTTTGAACTAGCAAGAAAAGCTGTTGATTACATATATGCTGGCAAAGGGGTAAAAATGGAATTAATCAAAGTGTTTGAATCCGTGGGTAGGACGCTAGAGTACAACTAATGATGCCCTGAGTACAAGACAACTATGCATTCGTTTTGGAACACTATTGTTTGAAGGCTTGATAATTATTGTTTGTATTTTAATTTTAGTTTATTTGTATTTTGACGTTGAACTTCTCATTATTTGGAACTCATTGAATTCAATATCAATCCTTTTTCATCTGCATAAATGTTGGATATTTTATATATTTTATTTTGTAATTTTTTCTCATATTTGTTCGTATTTGCTGTTATATGTTGATAAATTTATGTTTGTAAAGCTCTCATAAGCAATTTACCAAACTAGCTGAAAAAGTAGTTTACTTATTAAAAAAAAAAAAAAAACTTATGAACTTTTTTAGCGGTTTCACTAAACAATAAATTACTATAGGCTAACTTCTTTTTTTTTCTACCAAATATAGACAAAAAAAAAAAAGTTGTACCCCTCTTATAAGCAATTATTATAAAATAATTATCAATATTGTAAAGTAAAAGTTTGGTAAATTGCTTATGATTGACCCCATTAGAAATTTTGCAAAAAAAAGGTATTTGCAATATAAGATTATAAGTAGGCAGTTATTCTGCAATAAATATTCAAACAAATAGTTGGTAGGAGACAGCCCATTTTGGTCATTTCAGAGATTATCTCTTTATATTTTACCTAAAAATAGTTAAAGTTAACAACAAATAGTTTGAATTTTTTTACAGGTATTTAAAAAAAATTAATAATATAAGATAAATCCTTTTATTCTGATTATTTATATTATATACTTTTGATAGATTTACAAACCAAGCCAAAACATTTGGAAGATTTATATTATATACTGTAAGTTGTAATCATGCCCACTCAACAGTTAGAAGGTGTAACTAGTATGTTCAATTCAAGAGTTCAATTATTTCGTTAAGATGTTATTAGGTAGAAAATACAATTCAGTTTAATGGTTTTATTAATATAGACATAAGACAATGTAACCTTATTTTATACACATATGTTCATTTATCTAAAATTAATGTATTTATATTCCTTTTCTACCGATATAACAAAATATAACACCATACTGATCTATAACAATAACAATATATAACTTGAAACTTGTAATAAGAAATTACTTTTTACCCATCATGATAGTGTACACATATTATTTTTGACAAATAATAACAGCTTACTAACAGTTTTTACTAACAATAACAATATAGTTGGCTTTTTATTTTATCAATAATAGCATGATAAAAAAATTACAAATAAAATAGATTACTCACAATAATCATCAAATGTAAATACACTGATGCTATGACTAGAAAAAAATACAAGCATATGCATATTACAAGTAAAAAAAATACATAGCACATTGTTGTTATGGATAATATGTTGTTATTAGAAAAAACAAACATATTTCATTAATTGAAAAAGTAAATTACATCGACTCTTTCTAACAACTTTACCTACGGAGTATTAGGTTTTCATTTAAAAACTAGAAGAAAAAAATATTTAAATAATATTTTTGTCAAGTTAACCTAAATTTATAGCAAGTACTTAAAGTCATAATGCTTATGAAGTTATTAATAATTTGATATTATGGACCACACCTTTTTTCACAAATAGGAATATATGGCAGAAGCTATTATTATAGCATTGGTTTTTTTTGGTCATTATAGTGAAGATTGATGGATATTCATTGGGGGTTGGTATGTATAATTCCGGGTAAAGTTGACATTTCATTTCATTTACAATTTATTGGTGATTTTAGTTTTATCGGATTATTTTAGTATAATGAAAATTACCAATTATCAATAGAGTTTAGTTCTTGATTTTATTACAAGTTTAGTATAAAAACGAATTTGATCTCGGTTCGACCAAATGACAGAGGTTAAGGGGCTGCTCTTCAACCCAAAAAATTATTTTGTTAAGGAAATTTTATGGAAAATATTATTTTCAAAATATATTCTCCATAAGTATCTTTGAATCCATCATCCTTTATTTAAGGAACAAAATATGTTTATCTTTGGTAATAAGAAGAATCAAAATCTTATAAAACCATAATTCGCAGTCTCTTATTAGTGTCGTGATTTTAGATTGTTCCTTGAACGATTATCCCCATAATACGGATTTCTTATAACCCATGCATATGGTCGAAATATCATATTCGGAAAGTGATCACACGATTCTTCTAGCAGATCCATCCAGACGATTCATTGATTTCACAAACCTTTTCTTCTCTCAACCTTAACAAGTTTTTTGTTTGGTTGTAAATTAGTACGAAACTGAATTAAGCTAGAATTCATACGATCCTTTGACCGATTGATTTCAAGTTAAAATGCCATTATATAACACTTGATATTCAATCCCAACAACTTTTCTCGAGTCCAACTTAAGTAGGGAAGTGGAGAGAACAAGAAAGAACTGAGAAAAATTTGTGTTCCCGAGTTTGAAAGAAATGAAAGAGAAATAAACATTTTATATGTTCCTGAGTTGAAAGGTAAAAAATAAAAATAAATTTAAGTATTATTTTCAAAATCCAATTCTTTTCTTTCCGAGTCATTCCAAATTGGAAGGAAGTTAAGAGGAACGATTGTCCGTCCTCTTACTTTCATTTTTTCTAATTCCTTCCGTTAAAAATAACTCAAGAACATCAAATTTTTTTATTTCTTCTCAGTTCTATCATCTTTCTCAAATTTCACTCTTTAAATGGGACTTAGAAGCTAAGCATTATTTTATCTTGTTCCCAAGATTATTTATATTTCGGAAAGAATTGGCCAGAAGAGAAGGGATGATATTCCCTCCTAATCTTCCTCCCAAATTGAAAAGATTTGGAAGGAAGTATGCTTAATCATGTCATTAAAACGTAATCATTCCTTTACTTTCTAACTCGAGAACGCCAACATACAATTTCCTTCTTTTCCTCTTTTTTTTCTACCTTTTTTTCTACCTGGTTTTTTTAAAAGTTAAAATACAGAAGAGCACAACATATTTTTATTGGTTTATATTTTTAGACACTAAATTATTATCTTTTAAATAGATAAAAAAAAATTCATTAGGTAAATCTATTAAATGACCAAAGGAAAAGTCATTTTCGTATTTTGTTATTTTGTACAACCATAAATGGCAATTGATCATAACCATTTAACATTTCCATTTTAGGAGTCACATTTATATATGATAGCAGAAAGTGGGACATCTTTTTCATGTGAGGAGAAACAAAGATGGGACCCACTAAATGAAAAATAAAGATTCAATTGTGTATCACATGACATGTGTGGGAAGTTTTCTTGAGTGTTTATTTAACTATTAACTAGAAATTGTCTTGTCCCCACTTCGCCCGGACACAAGCGCCACCAAAATTATGTAACTAGGAAAATGTAGGAGCCAAGCATGCAAATATACAAAACTCATGTGGCTAAATTGTGAAAACAAAAAAGTTGAGAGACGAACATGACAAATGTACAAGCTATTTTGTATTTTTTTAAACATATGGACCGTTTCTGAAAAAAAAAAAAAGGAGCTTTGTGTAAATTATAAGGACAATTTGTAATTTGTTTTTTACACAGGGACCAAATCTGCCTACATATAAAAATATTAAACATAGGGACTGTTTTTGTAAACAAACACCAACCAGGGACCTTTTCTATAAATTACAAAATTATAGGGACTTAATGTACCAATATTAAAAAGTTTTGTGGCAAAAATCTATAATGTAAAAAGTTTACTATTGATAAGTCATTTGTATTTAATATATTTAGTGTTTGTTTTATTTTTGTTCAATAAAATAGGGTTTGCAATTATTATAATTAATTACTATGCATATATATAGCTATATATATTTGTTCTTTTTGCTGGTGTTACTTTTGCCCCCACCCAAATAAATAAATAAAAATTCCGCATCTACCCTTGTCCTTAACATTCTCAATGCTTGTTTACATTGGAGCTTTACAAGGCAAACCATCCCATAGTCCTTTGCACGGACGACTGAAGGGTATTCTCGACAAATCTTTCTAATGAATACACCCTTGTGTCTTCTACTTTCGGTATGTATTATGTGTTGGTGATTTTACATCACTAATATTATTTAAGTGTAAATAAGATTAATTTGTTGATCAATGTCACATTGATAAATATTGAACAAGTTAGGATGGTGTGGAGTGCACATTTGTTTAAATTTGTCTTGGTTGAAAGTACACTGCTATTTACGGGCGAAGCCCTTGAACGAACGGGATCCGGGGGCACGCCCCTGTGAGCAGGGTCCAAGGGGCAGAGCCCCTGGCTCGGGTCGATATTCTAGACGGTTTTTGTGATCCATATTCTAGACCCGACTTTAAGTTGGTTTATGGCCGTTTTTGGACAGGTTTAGGACTGTCATGTGGCAGTTTTAAGATAGGAAGCTTTTTTTGTTATATGATCATTTTTCGAAAATCAGTTTTGGTATTCTTTTTCTTAACATCTTTAACATTCTTTCTTCTCTTTTTCTCATTTTCTGAGTCTTATCCGATTAAAGATTGGGAGTGTCACCCAAATACTTTAATCTGAAAGTGTTATATACGATTTTCAGAATTTCCAAGTGTTTTTACCCCTCTTTTCTAACATTATGTTATTATAATACAAATATTTCTAAAGACAATTATGTCTCTTTGTACAGACTAGAGGTCAAAACTCTTGTTCCAAGAAGGGCAATTATGTCTTTGACTCAAGAGTAAGTTGTTGTCCCACTTTTTGGGTAGAACCATATGACAAAGAATTGCATATTAACACTGTATAACATGTTATATCCTGTTTACAAAAAATAAAAAATAAAAAATGTCCTTGTCATCTAAAGAGATGTGACTTATGTGTGTTTTGGTCATTATTTTGTCCATTGAAGGTATTGGAAGGATGGAATTGTTTGACCTAGCAAAATAAGCTGTTGATTACATATATGCTGGGAAGGGGGAAAAATGGAATTAATCAAAGTGTAGGACGCTAGAGTACAACTAATGCTGCCTTGGGTACAAGACAACTATGCATTCTTTTTGGAACACTATTTTTGAAGTCTTGATAATTATGTTATTTTTTATTTTATTTTTTTATTTTTTGTATTTTGACATTGAACATCTCATTATTCAGTGGTAAAACTACAATGATCTGAATGGGTAGGAACTCATTGAATTCAATTTCAATCCTT